TCCCACTTTTACTGTGTTCCTCTCCTTGTACTGTATTGTAATCCCTCTGGAGGCAGGGACTGCATCTTTCTGTTTTTTTATTCTCAGCATCTAGCACAGCACCTGACATGTAGTAGATACTCAATGAATGTTTGAGAGAAGAGAACAAGTGAATACAAATGAATGAGTCTGGCTAAATGGGTTCATATATTGGGTTGTCAGAAAAGTCATGATGCATTTTTGCAATGAAAAACAGAGAAAAAGTACGTCATGACTTTTACGACAACCCAATAAAAACAGCTACAATGAAACACAAACCTAAAACTTAGATGTATAGATAATGATGTTTAACCTGTGAATTTAAAATTAACTTTACAGTTCACCTATTACAATTAAATAATGATTGATAAGCTTGCTTTTGAGATCACCATACTCTCTACTCCAATATCTTCAGTTCGGCACTTAAGGTAATTCTATACATAAAAATAAAAAATCATCTATCCCCCTATTTTTCTTATAGAGATACAAAAATAGATAACGTAGGGCAAAGAACCCATGATATACACAAGTTTTAGAAAAAAAATTTTTTTTGTTTCCCCTTTGTATCTTTTGGTGTCTTTTAAATATGCTTCACCTATCTGAATCAATTTAGGAAAACTATGACTAAAACTATTCACACATCCTAGGACCCTAATCTAACCTTAGGTGGTTTGAGTTTCATTCTTATTTTTGCTACAATACTCACTCCATATGCCTCTTTTGTATTTCTAAATATTGAAATCAGTCCGTATTGGTTAGCGAAGTATGGGAAGCTGTAACTCTATAGTGTTTTCAGACAATGAATATACAGTATATTTTGCATGTAATTTTTATCTGCCTCCATCAAGTGTAACAATATGTTGAATTTGCCATGGGCCTTTAAAGCTTCGATGTTGTGAAGAGCTCTGCATGAAATTTTAAAGAGGCTGGACCTTTCATCTGCACAGCAGCAGGGCACCTCACTACAGGGATAAGAAAGGAAGAGAGAGAGAACATTTCTGAAGCCATAGCAAAAAATAACAGCAGAAGCAATTATTTCATCAAAGGTTGATTTTTTTTTTCTAGTCCTGATCCCCCCCTCCCCCCCAAATTTCTTAGCTGGAGATTGTCTGCCTTGTTGCCTTCATCTCCTGTTGTATGTTTAATTTGCAGACTTCACACGGTCAAAATGGGGGGGAAATTCATAAATGAAAAGATGTTTATTTTAGAAGGTGATGTTATTGATAACAGCATTTAAATGTATTTGCAAAGGGTCTGCAAATTGGGAACAATGCAGAGAACTAAATTTGGCATCCCCTAGAGTTCTCAGACTGTTTATCTGCTTGGGATGTGACTGATATGGATGGGTCTTCTTTGTGACTTTGCTTTCTCCCTTTCCTCCCATAAACATCAGCATGCTCTTTGGCTGCTCTGGGGAGGTAAGAGAGTTTCATCTCCCTATCTCTGTGCTAACATCATTTTTATTTTATTTGGGGTGGGGCTCTGCGCTCCTGGCTGTGGAGTCAATTAGTACCAGTTCTTATGATAAGGACACCATTCTACTGGTGGTGAGAATAATCAAATTTGGGCCACCATCTTCTTGTGCTAGGATTCTGAGAAATCATCAAAATGAAACTTTTCCATGGACTTCTCCATGGGCAGGGTCTGAACCTCTCCCTCAAATGAAGCTTAGAAGTTCTCCAGAGAGCTGCATATTTGGAGTTGGGGGGATCATGTCTTTGTCTGGGTATTAAATAAACTTGGTATTCCCCACCCACTTCTTTCCCCCACCCCCTGCTGTTTATTTGCTGGAGTCTTTGGATGACTTGCTCTAACTTCTTTTCCATTTTCTTTCTCTTCTTTGGGCTTTCCCCACATGAATTTCCTGTTGATGCTGTAACAAGTTACTATAAACTTAGTGGCTCAAAAACACACACATTTATTTTCTTACAGTCCTGGAGGTCATAGGTCCAAAATGAGGCATGTGGGGCTAAAGGTGTCGGCAGGGCTATATTCCTTCTAGAGCAGCGGTTCTCAACCTGTGGGTCGCAACCCCTTTGTGGGTCGAACGACCCTTTCACAGGGGTCGCCTAAGACCATCGGAAAACAAAAAGATACTTATATTATGATTCATAACAGTAGAAAAATTCCAGTTATAGAGTAGCAACGAAAATAATTTTATGGTTGGGGGTCACCACAACATGAGGAACTGTATTAAGGGGTCGTGGCATTAGGAAGGTTGAGAACTGCTGCTCTAGAGGCTCCAGAAGGAGAATCTGTTTCCTTATCTGTTCTAGCAGCATGTAGAGACTGCTTTCCTTGGCTCATGGTCCCTTCCTCTATCTTAGAGCGTATCACTCCCACATCTGCTTCCGGCGTTCCATCTTCTTCTCTAGATCCTGAACTTAATCACATTTGCAAAGTCCCTGTTACCACTTTAGGTAACATATTCACATATTCTGGGTATTAGTACATACATATCTTTTTGGGGGGGAGGGTGCATTATTCAGCCTACCACACCTTCAACATTATGCTACATAACATTTTTGTAATCCTTATTCTGTTTCTTTCCATTTGTGGATGCACTTCGTTCCATCCTCAACTGACAATGACTGTGAACTTGTTAAATGAGAGAGAGAAGTGTGTCTTCATTTTCTCCAACATTCCTCCTCAGAGTCAGAACAGCGATCAGCTTCAGGGGAATAAACTTCTTTCAGGTGTGGCTCCCTGATATTTGGGACTTTTCTCTATATTTTTAAGAGGCCTATGGACTCTGAGGAAGCAGTTCCATTGCCTTTGGTTCCACCTGATGCCTGGAGGTACGAATATGTTAGAATCCCAGCTATTCTAAACTTCCTCAGTGGGTGAAGCTACTTCTTCTCTTCCTCTGACATTTATTAAAGATCTCTCTCGCTTTCTTGTGGGCCATCCCCTCTCTGACCAACTGTTTATAGTTGTAGGAAGATCTCTCCATTCTTTGCCAACCTTAGACACTCCATCTTTTGTGTTCCCATAGCACATTTTGCGTACTTTTTATCTGAAACTCCATCTCTTAGGATTGTAATTATTTGTGTTTCTTAATAAATGGACTTGCTTGAGGACAGGAATCTTGCCTTATTTACTTTCACATTTTTCCCCTCTAAAATGGAGCTTGGCACAGAGTAAACACTTAGCATATATTTCTCTGAGCCAGTGAATTACTAAACAACCCTATAGAGTGAAGCCCAAACCTTAGGAGACCATGAAGTCCCCTTTCACCTTCCATCTCCCCTCTTCACGCTCCCTGTTTCCTGTTCACTTCATGCCCTCTCCATGTTGTACTGCTTTCTGTTCTCCAAACCGCTTTCCATTTTGTCTGTTCCCACTGTGATAATGTACAAACTAACATTTGTAATGCTAGCCTTAGTACAAAGCACTTTATAGACATTTCATCTTCACAATACTCCTGTGTGGTTTACATTTCACAAATGAAAATCCTGAGGCTTGGAGAGGTGACATAACTTCCCCAAGACCACACAGCTAGTAAGGAATAGCTCTGGGTTGTGAGCTCAGTGGCTCAGGTCTAGAGCCCATATTGATAACTGCCACTGCCTCTTGATCATGGGCTTCCACTCCAAAGGGCTTGCTTAGCGCTTCCAGAAAACTCTGCATTCCCTTTGTACCCATCATAATGCCCAATAAAACCTACATGTACTTAGGATTGAAGTTTGGGTGAGAGTTTTTAATTATGAGGACTCTTTTTACGGTTGCAAGTCAGACTCTTAAGAGGATACTGAATAGAGCCACACTGCACAATGCTTTAGAGTCTATTCCCAACCACATGTCTCATTCGGCCATTGCCACAAATGCCTGCAAATCAATGTCCAAAGTAACAATAGTCATTACGTGACTGAACAGGGCGTCAGGCAGCCCTTCCTTCCACCTCCTTGGTGTTCAGACTTTTTATGTGTAAAGCGATGGATCCCATTCTTCAAACAATCTCATGTAGACCCCCAATATTTAAAACAGATAAAAGTGTATGTGAATTTCCTGTGTTTTCCCAGAATTGTTCCATAAATCCCTTTCTCAAGCTTGAGGACACAGCACCCTTTCCTGCAACTCCTTTCTTTCACCCTACTTGCCCCATTTCTTTATTAGTTCTGGGTCTGTGGGAGAATCCAATTGACCCAGGCTTGTGACAGATTTGTAATATATATATAATTTGCCAATGCTTGTATCAACCCCTTAGATTGTGTGAATTCAAAACTGATGGAAGTGTACCTAAGGACCATAGATGTTCCAGATAGGGAAAAAAGCTCATGCAGGGCCCACGGAGTTGCAGTTTGTTTTTAAAGAGCTCTCCTGGGGTATCATTGCCTTGATGAATCTACAGTCCAGGCCCCGGCCTTGATCCTGCCAAGATGAGAAATTTGATTTTGTCCACGAATTGTGTGGTCCAGTTGACCTGCTGCTTGAACCAAATGGATCCTGGGACCAGGGTTCCTGTTGCCTGGGCACATTTGAATAGACTCCGTTACCACGTGCTTGTCTGAAACCTTTGTTCTGTGTGTCCATAGCTAAGCAATGCTTGTTTTAATTCACCTGTTATATCCTTAGCTATATTAATACATACAGCAAGGACATAGTCAAGTATTGCCAACACAGAAGGCTTTCTGCCTCTATTATAGGAGAGAGTATACCATGTTCGTTAAGAACATAGGTGTTGAATTAAAGGGGCTGGGTTCATATTCCCAGTACTGCCACATATAAACTATGTGACCCTTGCTAATTTCTTTAATTTCTCTAAGCTCATTTTCTCTTCAATAAAATAAAAATACGTGTGAGTTGTGAGATTGAGATACTAGTGTGTGAAAGTCCTCGATTCTGGACACAGGAGATTGCTTGGTGATTGGTAAATGCTAGCTTTGTTATTACTTTAGGTGGCCTCTCATCTCCTCTGATTCAGTTTGTATTGATGTTCAAGTTTAACTTTCAGAGGCTCATCTTGTTTTTCTTAATTTCAGATTCCGGGAGGATGCCCCCACGATGGCTCTGAGAGGCTAAACACGAGGCCCCCAGCACAGTTAGCTGCTTGGTATCCCCTTTTCTCTGCCACTGAGGAAGTCATGTTACAAAGGAGCCCAATGCTAGTTCTTGCTCACACCTGTGTGCAACGCCGACCACTCCACTGCCTCGAGCCAGGATAAAGGTGGAGACACCCTCCATGAATGCACAGCTCCTACTTTGGCTCTTCAGTTGTCCCACCTATGCTCTGCCTCCTCCTGCTGCCCAGGTATGTGTCACATAACAGATTATACACATATCACATAAATCCATGCTTGTGGGAAATTCAAATTATATATATACGTGTGTAACAATGTATTGTCATCTTCACTGTCCCAGCCACATTCCTCATGTGTGTATCATGCTAGCCTTTTTTTATATAAGTTTACATACTTATTATTTTTAAAAAATGATATTACATTATTCTTTGGTGACCTGACTTTTTAACTTAACATTTCTTGATCTTTTCATGTCAATATGTACAAATTCTATTCTTTTAAATTTTTGCTCAGTTTTCCACGTATAGATGAATCATTATTTACCTTGAGAGTATTGATGATTATTTAGCTTTTCAGTTTTTAATACTAAAAACAAGGTTTCAGTGAATATTTTGGGGTTAAAAGTGTTAACATTTTGATAGATAACGGCCCACTGTCCTTCTAAAAGCTATGCCATTTTATACTCCTATCAACCTGTACAGGAAGGCCTATTTCTATTTACATTCACATCACAAATACTGAATCTTATTTAGTCTTTTTAGAATTTAATCTGATGGATAAGCATCTCCTTATTTTAATATACATTTTCCTGATTATCTGTGAGTTTAAGCATCTTTTCACAGGTTTTTTTCCCTTTAGCTTTCTAACTGCTGTCAATTTATATCTTTTTCTCAGTTTTATTTTGGGTTATTCATCTTTTTCTATTGCCTATAGGAGCTCTTTGTGTATTTTAGCTCTTTTTAAAATAATCATAACTATTTTCTCTAGTTGCTGTTTTTTAATTGCATTTTTGTATCTTTGGCTATATAGAAGTTTTACATTTCATCTAGTTTTTGCTTTCCTATGAAATTTATTTTATATTTGTAAAGGAATGTGAAAGTTTAAAAATTACTCAATATTATTTGTGGTGAAACAGGCTAATATTATTTATATGTTACAAACAAGAAAAGTTTAAAGATCTTGTAAACTCCAGCTATTTTATAATTTAACCAACAAGTATTTATTAATACCTACTATGCATTTAGTGTGATAGATAATAAAAAGAAATATAAAACATGGTCTGTACCTTCGGGGCATTTGTATGTGAATCACAGATACTTAGATATATCTTAGAAAACCATATTGGGCATTATTTAGCTAAGTGCTGAATTTCGTTACAGAAAAAAATTGGTATCAAAAGGAACTAGGTCAACAGAATACATACGAATACATGGTAAAGGCTATGATCATAGTGGGAAACTTGAAGTGGCGCTTACAGCCTGGGAAAGATTTAGTTCTGAGGTTACAGGACCTGTATCAGTTCTCTATTTCTGTATAACAAATCACCCAAAGCTTAGCGGCTTTAAAAAATACCTATTTAAGTTAGCTTCATAATATTGCAGGTTGACAATGTTGGTTGGGCTCAGCTGGGCAGTTCTTCTGGTGTGGGCTAAGCTTGGCTAATCTTGGCTGAGATCACTTATGAATCTGTAGTCAGCTGATTGATTGTTTGTGCTGACTGGGTAATAATGGCTGCATCTCGGACAGCTGAGATAACTGGGCCTTTTCTCACATGGGATCTTCTTACAGGCTAGCCTGGGTTTGTTCCCATGATGGGCACAGGATTTCAAGAGTTGAAAACAGAAGCTGCAAGGCTTCTTGAGGCCTTGGTTCAGGATTGGTGTACCGCCATTTTTGTGCATTCTATTGGTCAAAGCTACAAGACCCACCTAGGTTCAAGGGGTAAGAAAATAGACTCTACCTCTTGCTGGGAGATATTAAAATATTGCGGCCATTTTTGCAGTCTACTGCAGAACCCCAATTCAGGTTCATGTTTACTGAGTGATTTAATCCTCGCAGTTATGTGTGATGATCATGCTCAGAATCTGTCTTTGACAAAGCCAGGTAGAAATAGAAATAGCAGTACAGTAGACGTCTACAAATGCCTGTTTATCTTGGGTGACTGGGTATTGGTTTTTAGGGAACCTTTCTTTCATGTTGTTTTAAACAGGGCCATTAGGAACATGATGTCTGGATTTCTAGACTGGCCAGAGTGATCTACGATAGCCTTGCCCATCCCCCTGCTCCTTTCTTAGAACACACCCTGAAAGAGTGAATGAGATGTGGTGTTTAGTTCTGGCAATAAATGCCATGTCTGTGAATGCAGAGCATTAAATATATATAAAAAAAAGCTAACATCATAGTTCTCCAATTTAAAAAAGCCAGCTTCTAGCCTTGATTTCTTGTATTCATCTCATTTTCAAGTTAGTTGACATTGCTTGCAACTTCCGTTTTAAATGATTGGTATAATTCCTCTTATTTGGGTCTTGTAGAACTAGTTTCAGAAATTCCATCAGTTCTTGTTTTTACTGTTTAGAGGTAAGGAGAGGTGGCCAATAAGTCCTTTCTCGAAGCTTATACCCCTTTTAGTGATCATGATAGTTTCTCAGTTCAGACAGTAGTTGTGAGGTTCAGGCAGCGCCTAGTAGACCTGCTGCTTCATATAGAGCTGTGGTCTCTGGGCCAAACATTCAACTCAGAATGAAGCTTGAGTAACGTCAGGGTGTAACTTAAAATACTATATATAGGGATGGTGCTTTTTAAATACTCAAGATTATTCTCCATTGTTCTCAGTTCTTTCTTAAGGAGCAGAGATACCTTCAGATTTCTATACACTTGTATGTAAAAGCCTGATTTCCCTCTGATTCTTGTACATGTACAAAATGCTGCTAATTAAAATAAATATGCTGTTCAATAGAGGAACAGTGTCTCATGGTGGAGCTGTCCATGAATGCTGGAGCCAGAATCTTGTTTGAATTAAAAGGATGTCTGCTATGTTACGGCGCCCTATGGAGACGTATAAGGCTGGAGCTTCTAGCCGTCCATACTGTCTTTATTGAGAGACATATTTATATCTTCCAGACTAGTAATTAATCACTCAGTGGGATTTTTTTGGGGGAAGTCATGAGCTCACAGAGAATCTTTTTGTGTTGCCAGGAACCACAAAGCATGGGTACAATTAAAATGCTGATTTAATTTATTATATTGAGGCATGGAACAGGAATGTTTAAATGGTCTTGACAGGGCCAGAATTTCAGAACCACCTTTTTAAAAATAGAAAACAAATGCCTAACCCCCTTAAATTAAATTATATTAATAACATATTTCTGTACGTTGCTTGGAAGCAAAATAAAGCACTTGACAGTAATTAAAATTTGAAGATGTTGTATTATTTGTTGTTAATGTGCAATCTTTGTTAGGGGAAATACATTTCAAAGTGATCTATTTATGAAAATTAAATGGGGGGAAAATTGCCTATTGAGCAAATTTTGCTTAATAAGGCTGCTTTTCTTAGAAATGTGGATTCTTAGGTAACTCAAATGTTTTTGTATTCCAATATGGTTTCTATTTTTGATCCTCTCAAAAATTGTCTTTGTTAGTTGAATCTTGATATTTCCACATATAATTCCATTGTCGGGGGGCTTCTGAACTCTAAAAACCAGGAAGGCTTTCATATATTTTGGGGTATTGAGTAACATGTATTTGCAAAGAGAATTTCATCTGAAATCAATGTGGTTAGTCACTTGGACCCCCTCCAAATACCTCTGCAGGTCCAGAAGCCAAAGGGGCCCCATTAGCAGCCTCTAACTAGCTCTCTTCTAATGAATGCTGTGTTCTGTGTCTTGAAACTGCACTTTCCTTGTTTCACACAAACTAGAAAATGCCATGAGATAATGGGATAGTTGTTTGCCCTGCTGTACCACAGTGAGGCGGAGCTAATAGAGTCACCTCTTTGCAGACCTCACATGCAGATAATATTCTGAAAAGTTACACATCTCCACTGTCTTGGGGGAAAGGCGGTTTCTGACCCTGGTTTAGGTTTTATTTTCTTTTGGCATTCATTCAGATGCATTTGACTTGGACTTTCAAAGTTAATATCCAATAAAACTCTTAGATAATGAACTCTTCTGTGAGTGAAATAAATAAACCATAAACGATACATGTTGTGTCTTACCATGCTACTGCCATTTTTGTGGATCTTGATAGTGCGATTACAGTACCGGAATTAACTGACCCCTGTTGATCCTGATAATTCTGGTGATAGGAGTGCCAACTAGATTGAAGAAATGGGGTAGTTTGTTTACATGTGTTCCTCCACTGGTTAAAATTAAAGCAGTCACAGTGAAATCAATATTTATTTTACAAACATTTAGGTGGTGAAAGTTTTCTTCTGGGAAATGTTCAGGTTTTTGTGGGAAAACTTTTGACTTAGGTACTAAATAATAATGAACCATTGTTGACATTTTGTTTTTCTCCCCTCTCTTTACTCATCCCCACATCTATTTAGTCACCAATTCCTGTGGATTCTCGTCTTTAAATGTTATGATCTTCCCATCCTTCCCCTACCACGGCCTCCCAAACTGTCATCACTGCAAACATGGATTTGTTTATCTGTCTGCCCTATGAGGCTGTAAACTATTTGAGGCCGTGAATCAAATCTTATTTGACTTGGCCACAGTGTCTAGCATGTAGTAGGTGATGGGTATATATTTGCTATATAAATGAAGGCTTTTATATAAACCATTTAATTCAGTCATTCTCAACTAGGGATGGTGGTGATTTTGACTCCCATCCCCCACCCCCGCAAAAGGACATCTGGCAAGTCTATAGATACTTTGGTTGCTACAGCTGCAGTGTGTGTGTGTGTGTGTGTGTGTGTGTGTGTGTGTGTGTGTGTGTGTAGTGTGTGTGGTGGGTAGAGACCAGACATGTTGCTGAACATCCTATAATGCACAGAATTGCAACAAAGAATTATTGGGCCCCAAAATGTCAGGTGTGCCAGGGTTGAGAAACCCTACTCTAGTTTAATTTTCAAAATATCCTCTCTTAAGTAGATAAACAGGTATAGACATTTCTTTACTCTAGATATGAGAAAACATGCATGGAGAGATTAAATGAGTATTCTAAGTCCACCCAGCTTATGGTAGTGACAGAACCAGTGATCCTACATCTAGATAAT